AGCAGCAAAATATGTTTTGCTCCAAGTAATGATAGGGTGGCCCCTCCCTGCCCTTCACTGGCTCTAGCTAATGACAAGTCAGTTTCTCTGGTGGTTCCTGTCTCCCCGGTTTTTCATCTTCTCCTTAGTCCCCAGTTTCTGAACCACGGTATGGGTCATGAATTTTTTTTTTTTTTTTTTTAATTGGCAGTGGTCAAAAATGGTGACTTCAGTCATCTTCCCCTTCAGAGCCTTCCGTGTCCTCTGGAGGCATCTTGGCATTCACCCTCCGAGGAAGCAGGCATTACTCAGCGATTCACTTCTGCCGAGTCCTTCCACACACACCCCTTCTGTGTGCAAATGGACTTTATAGCCAATGCAGGCACAATTCTACCAGGAGTAGAAGGAAACAGGCCAGCCAAGCCTGCTAGAATAATCAAGCCGGGGCCTTTTTAGTGGGCCTCCAAGGGCACTGGTCTTGGTTTTCTCGTAGCTGTGGTGCCCTGGAAATGAACTCTCCCTCCACCATCCACTCCTCGGTGAAAGATGTGGACCAGCCAGGAAGAAGCAAAGAAGTGTTGTTTTATTGACTCCAGATGAGAGGCCTTCCAAGCAAGCAGGCACTGTCACTCCCAGCCTGTATCCCAGAGGCTCTGAGCTCCTAGCAGGCAGTAAACAGTTGCAGGGGTGAAAGCATTCATTCGGCAAATCGGCAAATCTTCACTGAGCATGTACTATAAGCTTGGTGCTGTACCGAGGATAGAACTGTTAGAAAGAAATTCTTGGCGCGGTGCTCAGCCTGTAATCCAGCACTTGGGGCGAACGGGCGGATACGAGGTCAGGAGATCGAGACATCCTGGCTAACACATGAACCCCGTCTCCACTAAAATACAAAAAATTAGCGGCGTGTGCGCCTTAGTCCCAGCTATCGGGAGCTGAGGCAGGAGAATGGCGGAACCGGGAGGCGGAGCTTGCAGTGAGCGAGATCGGCCACTGCACTCCAGCCTGGGCGACAGAACGAGACTCCGCCTCAAAAAAAAAAAAAAAAAAAAGACAATTTCTTTTTGTTTTGTTTATGTTTTTGTTTTGGAGACAGAGTCTCTCTCTGTCGCCCAGGCTGGAGTGCAATGCGTGATCTCGGCTCACTGCAACCTCCACCTCCCAGGTTCAAGCGATTCTCCTGCCTCAGCCTGGCGAGTAACTGGGACTACAGGCGCCCACCACCACGCCCAGCTGATTTTTTGCATTTTTAGTAGAGACGGGGTTTAACCACGTTAGCCAGGATGATGTTGATCTCCTGACCTCCCAAAGTGCTGAGATTACAGGTGTGAGCCACTACGCCCAGCGACACTGTTTATGTGTATTTATATCCTATAGCTGTGTAATAAATTTCCTTAAATTTAGCAGTGTAAAACAATACCCCCCCCCTTTTTTTTTTTGATACGCAGTCTCCCACTGCTGCCAAGGCTGCAAGGCTACAGTGCAGTGGTACGATCTCGGCTCACTGCAACCTCCACCTCCCAGGTTCAAGTGAGTCTCCAGCCTCAGCACCCAGAGTAGCTGGGACTACAGGCCTGTGCCACCACACCTGGCTAATTTTTGCATTTTAGTGGAGACAGGGTTTCACTATGTTGGCCAGGCTGGTCTCAGAGTCCTGACCTCAAGTGATCCACACCCCCTTGGCCTCCCAAAGTGCTGGGATTACAGGCATGAGCCACTGCGCCCGGCCTCATTCAGCAAATCTTCACTGAGCAACTACTATAAACCCAGTGCTGTGCTGAGGATAGACCTGTAGACAAGACAGTTTCTTTCTCAAGGTGCTTCTGGAAGGAGAGACAGATACTGTTTATGTGCATTCATTTTATTTATTTATATATTTTTTGAGACGGAGTCTCGCTCTGTTGCCCAGGCTAGAGTGCAGTGACACCATCTCGGCTCATCGCAAGATCCACCTCCAGGGTTCATGCCATTTTCCCACCTCAGCCTCCTGAGTAGCTGGGACTACAGGTGCCCGCCACCACACCTGGCTAATTTTTTTGTATTTTTAGTAGAGACGGGCTTTCGCCGTGTTAGCCAGGATGGTCTCCATCTCCTGATCTCGTGATCTGCCCGCCTGGGCCTCCCAAAGTGCTGGGATTATGGGCGTGAGCCACCGCGCCCAGCCGTGTATTCATTTTCTATTGCTGTGTAATAAATTTCCTAAAATTTAGCAGTGTAAAACAATACCCCTTTTTGATTTTATATTTCCATAGATCAGAAGTCATAGTGGGCTGGATTGGGTTCCTTTAGGTTTTCACAAGGCTAAAGCCAAGGGCTGGGCTCTCATCTGGAAGCTCTGGGGAAGAACAACCTTACTGAGGTTGTTGGCAGAATCCACTTTTTTTTTTTTTTTTTAGTGGAGACGGGGTTTCACCATGTTGTCTAGGCTGGTTTCGGGCTCCTGACCTCAAGTGATCCACCCACCTTGGCCTCCCAAGACAATAGGATTACAGGCATGAGCCACCACGCCCCAGCCACACAGATTTTTTTTTTTTTTTTTTTGAGATAGAGTCTCATTCTGTCGCCCAGGCTGGAGTGCAGTGGTGCAATCTTGGCTCACTGCAACCTCCACCTCCCAAGTTCAAGCGATTCTTGTGCCTCAGCCTCCTGAGTAGCTGGGATTACAGGTGTGTGCCACCACACCTGGCTAATTTTTGTATTTTCAGTACAGACAGGGTTTCAGCATGTTGGTCAGGCTGGTCTTGAACTCCTGACCTCATGATCTGCCCTCCTCAGCCTTCTAAAGTGCTGGGATTACAGGCGTGAGCCACCAGGCCTGGCCGGATTGGTTTTGAACTCAGTGATGGGGATAAGGTTGGCCAATGTGAACTGACAGCCACACACATAACTTTCTGCCACCTCTTCCTCTGCCAGAAAGGCACTTTCTTCCCTCCTCCAAGCTTCCAGAATACTAGAGAGGATTCTTTTGCATCTGAGCAGTGTTGATTAGCATTTGTGAGAATCTGTGTGAATAACAATACCTCTTCTTCAGATTCTGGGGGTGACCCAAGGGATTCCTTTGAAGTGACTGGGCTCTCCCCTGCTCACCTCTGTGGTCTGGCAGGAAATTCACTGGTGGGAAATCTTCAAGTGTATGAAATGCTGGTGAGGGGGGGATCCAGTCACACTTGAATCATATGTTCATTCAACCATTTGATTGAATGATTGATTAATTGATTGGCTGATTCAGATTAGGTTTCCCTATGTTGCCCAGGCTGCTCTCCAACTCCTGGGTTCAAGCGATCCTCCTGCCTCAACTTCCCAAAGTGCTGGCATAAGAGGCGTAAGCCACCGTGCCTGGCCCATTCTACCAATATTTATTTATGTATTTATTTATTTTAGATGGAATCTCGCTCTATTGCCTAGGCTGGAGTGCAAGGGTATGATTAACTAACTGTAGCCTCCACCTCCTGGGTTCAAGCAGTTCTCCTGCCTCAGCCTCCTGAGTAGCTGGGATTACAAGCGTACGCCACCATGCCCAGCTAATTTTTTTGTGTGTATTTTTAGTAGACATGAGGTTTCACCATGTTGGCCAGGCTGGTCTCGGATTCCTGACTTCAGGTGATCCGCCCACCTCGGCCTCCCAACGTGCTGAGATTACTGGCGTGAGCCACTGCGCCTGGCCCAACTAATTTTTATTAAGCACTTGCTGTGTATCCCAGGCATTTGTGATACAACAGTGAGCAGAACATTCTTTTGGGGGGCGGGGAGATGAACAGTACATAAACTGGAGAAAAACGCAGAGAAAGCGGGTATAGGGAGATGGAGGGGAAGACAGGTACCACAATCTTCTGGCCTTGTTAGGGCGAAATTCCATTCTCCCCTGAGATGTGTAGAAATGTACATCGGTTTGCTCCATTTTTATTGACCCACACTACCTTGATTAACTGGAAGAGTTGAGACCCTAATCATCAATCTGTCAATGACTGGATGAGACAGGACAGGAGATACATTCACTGAATGTCTCCTGAAATAGGGAGACCCCGGGTGAATAATCCCAGACTGGGTTGATAGGAAGGAAATAATGCCAAATGTGAGGGGTAGTGGGCTTGTTTTATTTTTATATTATTATTTTGTTATCATCATTAGTTGAGATAAGGTCTCATTCTGTTGCCCAGGCTGGAGTGCAGTGGCACTATCTTGGATCACTGCAGCCTCAGTCAACCTCCCAAGTGAACCTCCAGCCTCAGCCTCCCAAGTAGCTGGGACTACAGGCGCGAGGCACCACACCCGGCTAATTAAAAATACATTTCAAAAATATAAAAACAAAAACCAAAAACTTTGTAGAGAGGGTGGTTTCTTACTCCTGGCCTCAAGTGACCCTCCCGCCTCGGCCTCCCAAACTGCTGGGATCACAGGTGTGAGAAGCTGCGTCCCGCCTGGGGTTGCTCTTAAGGAGCCAAACTTTGCCAGATTAGGCTGACAGTGAGAAAATAAATTCTTCCACGGTAGATACTGGGTGAAAAAGTGCAGGTCAGCGGGCCAGGGTAAATAACGACAACAACAGGAACTTCTAGGCGCTGACCCCAGGCTCCCTTCCGGGCCCTATCCCGAGCAGTCCCTGGGCAACCTCCGGCGCTCGCCCCGGCGGGCCCGGCTGGGACCTGAACCACGGCCGCCGGGTGGCTTCTGGGCCCCTCCTCGTTGCCGCTCCTGGGTCTTTCGGGCTGTCCAGTTCCCCACGATGGGGAGGATTCCGGACCACCCCCGCAGGGCTAAGTCACCAGGCGTCCCGCCTCGGCCCCCACGGCCCGGGGGCAGCGAGCGCCGAGGGTCCGCCTCGGGACTGAGGGGCAGGCGGCGCCGGGACGCGGCGCTGCGGGGCGGGCGGGCCTCGGCGGCGGCGGCGGCAGGCGGGCCGCTCCCTGCTCCGCCTCCCGTGCTCCGCCCTCCGCTCCCGCTCCGCCCTCCGGCTCGGCGCCCGCCCGCTAGCTCTCCTCGCTCGCTCGCTCGCTCCGCGGCCCCCCATGCGGATGTGACATTTCACGCCGCCGCCATTTTGAGAGCGAGCCGAGCCGAGCTGCCGGGCGCCGCGTCCGCTGCCGGAGCCCCGACGACGACGCCGAGGAGGCGGAGGCCGCGGCTCTCGGAACGCGGCCGGCCCGTCGCCCGCCCGCGCCGCCGCTCCCGCCGGCCCCAGGGCCCGCAGGCCCGCCGCGGCCGGCCAGGCCTCCCGCCCGCCGCGCCCGGCCCGAGGCGGGGCTGACTCCGCGGCCCCCGCCCGGCCGCCCTCCGCCCCCGGCCGGCCCGCAGCCCCGCAGCCCCGGCCCGGGCCCCGGCGGCGGGAGGCGGGCCCCGCGGCGGCGGCGGCGGCGGCCGCAGCGAGCGACAAGGCCGCCCGGCCCGGCCCGCCGGCCGCCCGCCCGCCTCGGCGCCGAGATTGGGCGAATCGCGAGCAAGTACGTGCGCGTCTCCCTGCCGCCGCCGCCGCCCGCCGCGGGCCGCCCCGGGGCCGCCGCCGCCGACGACGCGCGGGAGGAGGAGGAGGAGGCCGCCCCGCCGCCGCCGCCGCCGCCGCCCCGGCTCGCCGCCGCCCGCCAGCCGGGCTCGCAGCCCCGGCCCCCGGCCGCAGGCGAGGCCCAGGCCGCGGCCGACATGAACCACCAGCAGCAGCAGCAGCAGCAGAAAGCGGGCGAGCAGCAGTTGAGCGAGCCCGAGGACATGGAGATGGAAGGTGAGACCCGCGGGCCGGCCGCGGCGGGGCCGGGGGGCGCCTTTCATTGTGGCCGGGGGAGCCGCGGGAGCCACGCGAGGGGCTCGCCATCTTTAACCAGGCCCCGGGCGGCCGCCGGGCCTCGGCCTGGCCTCCCGGCCCCGGCCCGGCGAGGCTGCAAAGTCATGCCGGGTCCGCGGGTGAGGGGCGGCCGCCGGGGCCTCGGCCCCGTGCATTGTCCCGACCACACGTTCGCCGGGCCTCCCCGGCACAAAGCGCCCAGAGTTGTAAAATTCGAACGCTCCGGCCGCGGAGGGACGGAGGTGTTTTCTCACCCAGGTTGGGAGGCGGGCTCCGGGGACCGTCCCGGTTCTGGGGCGTCCGGTTGGATCTGGTCTGGCTGGGGAACTCCTGATCTCCCCGGGCGCGGGGCTCGCCCGCACCTGCTCCGGTGCGCTCCCCCGGAGGGCGCGCCGTGGCTCGGAAGCGCTCCTCCAAATCACTTTCTAACAGCACTGCCTAGCGTCGGGCTTACATTCTAAAACACCTGCAAGGAACGCAGATGTTGTCAGGCTTTGGGCTGGCCCAGAGTTCTGATCCGGGCGCTGTTGGTTTCCGAATCCACCTGTTTTTCTGGGAGTTTGGTACCTGGCAGTGTGTGGTGCAGCCAGCATCCGGCCAGGTGTGCGCTTGCAGCCGTGCGAAAGCCCCGCCGCACATGGCTGCCTGCATCAGAATCAAACCTGACTCGAAAGGTAACTCGGTTTTCTGCCGATGTGGCAGTAATTTTCCAGGGCACTGTAGTTTGAGGTATAGAGTCTTGGTTATAAAGGTTGGATGTAAAGAACACTGTAAAGAGAAGGGTGTTGGATTTACGGAGTTGGTCATTGGAAGGCACTTTTTCTCCTGGCCCATTCCACTGAAACAAAGCAAAGTCCGAATGGTCTTTAAAAAGTTTTCTTACCTACGTGACGGGTTCAGGCTGTCAGGAGTCAAATGGAGGCCACCTGAATGAAAAGGGCGTGGAATGCTTTATTCTAGTTTTACTTTTAGCAAGGGATCTTGGGTTGCGTCAATGAATGAAGCTCCAGGGGAGCTCAGGAAAAGCAGTGTTTAGTCCTGTGCGGTGGCTCCAAGTGTGGGGCGCTGCACACCGGTTGGTGGGAACACTTAAGCGTGACTGGTGTTCCCCTCTGTATAACTTATTGCCAGTAATTGGATGGTCACTGAAAAAATGGCTGGCCAGGTTGCAAATGGCAAAGTGGCTGGGATTCTGCACTAGGCATTCCCCAGTGGTATTTATCAGTGGCAGTAATGGGGGACAGAAGAGCGTAGTCCACGCCAAGCACTGGGTTATCTGTTTCACTTGGCCCCAGCAAAGCAGCAACTTTGCAGAGCGCCTGGTATGTGTGATTAAACCAAATAACTGAAAAGATGTACATTGCTGAGAGAATTTTGTGTATTCCTTTTGTGCTGTATTTTGCAGCCCATCTAAAACATAAAAAAAGGTTACTTTTCAGTTTCCTTTTCAAATGGTACCCGATGAAGACGAATATCCAATAACACGAGCATATGGATTTCCCATGACATTGTCCTGCTGCTTTCCAGGTGTCTTTGGGCATCAGTGAGAATTAATAAACAGAGACATTACTGTAGAGCCTGTGTGTTACAGACCTGTATCTTTGGGAAAATGACCAGGTCCACAAATTTCAAGGTCTTTGCTTTTTTTTTTTTTCTTGTGAGACAGAGTTTTGCTCTTGCTGTCAGGCTGGAGTGCAGTAGTGCACTCAGCTCACTGCAACCTCCGTCTCCCGGGTTCAAGCGATTTTCCTGCCTAAGCCTCCCAAGTAGCTGGGATTACAGGCATGTGCCACCACGCCTGGCTACTTTTGTATTTTTGTTAGAGACGGGGCTTCTCCATGTTGGTCAGGCTGGTCTCGAACTCCTGACCTGAGGCGATCTGCCCTCCTCGTCCTCCCAAACTGCTGAAATTACAGGCGTGAGCCACCGCGCCTGGCTGGTCTTTACCTTTAGAAGGCTAGAGGGTGTTGAAGTTTTAGAAATTCAGCAGTCTCCATGCATGTTTTCAAGGCTACTTTCTTTTCTTATAAAATGAAGCTTTATTTTCATATTACAGTTTGTATTGGAAAGGTAACCCCAAGAACAGTTAATCTGTAAATTTACCAGAATCTCAAATTGGGTGGCAGTGGTTTTAGTTACTAATGCTGATTGCTTAAACTTAAGAAACTCCTTTCTTCTGACTGGGCGTCTGTTTCAATTTCATTATCGAGAAGGTCCCTTGTCTTGTCGGGAGCACATGAGGCTGTGGACAAATAATAGTGCCCTGTGAGTACCCACTGGTGTGTGGTTGAAAAAGCTACTTGTGTCTTAACGCCATCTATTTCAGCCTCCCCAATCCTGAAATGCAGCCTTAACGATTGATTGGAATGTGACTTAGGACCCGAAAGAGTGAGAGAACACTTATGTTAAAAAGCCACAAGGGTGGAATTTAGCGGACTCTGGTTGGCTTCATGGACCAGGCTGTGAGTGGGGTCCCGGTCAGAGCTAGAGACTTGCACCTGTTTAGTGTCTGCCCCGGTGCCTAAAGAACCAGCAGCTGGAAACTGTCAGGGTCTGAACAGCTTGAGGAAGGGAAGGCTTTGTAAACCTGGAGCATCCTGGCCGGGCGCGGTGGCTCACGCCTGTAATCCCAGCACTTTGGGAGGCCGAGGCGGGCGGATCACAAGGTCAGGAGATCGAGACCACGGTGAAACCCCGTCTCTACTAAAAATACAAAAAATTAGCCGGGCGCGGTGGTGGGCGCTTGTAGTCCCAGCTACTCAGGAGGCTGAGGCAGGAGAATGGCGTAAACCCAGGAGGCGGAGCTTGCGGTGAGCCGAGATCGCGCCACTGCACTCCAGCCTGGGCGACAGAGCGAGACTCCGTCTCAAAAAAAAAAAAAAACAAAACAAAAAACAAAACAAACCTGGAGCATCCTGCCTGTGCCTCCTGGGCAGGGTGGTTTCGAAGGAGCCTGGGAGACTGGTTCGGTTGGTTGGTTTTTCTCTATCAATATAGGTCAGTGTGAGTTTGCTCTCCGGCCTCACATTCTTGGGGTCGCGTTTGCTTTTGAGTGAACTCTGCCACAGCCCTTGGATATTCACTGGAAAACAGCAGTACTCTGGAATAGTTATTTTTAAAATGCCCTGAGCAGTTAGGAAAGTGATGAAGGGTAAAGTGCGGAGAGGGAAGAGGTGAGGGGCCTGATGCAGTTTGCTGGGGTTGCAGCCACACACTGCCTGTGAGGTCTGAAGCAGCCAGTTGCACGTTTCTAGTTGGAAGGCAGATAGAGCTGGGGAGGTGGTGGTATGATTAGGTCTGGCTGGGAATAAGGTTGCTTGGCAGTGTATTATTATTTGCTAACTTTGATGGCCATGGAGGTCTAGGGGCTGAAGGAGTGACTTGCATGGGTCTCTGCCCTCTGAATACTCGATGAGGATGGTCATCGAATGGTCCGAATGGTCCCTGTAGACGCTGTTGAATCAACAGGAAATTATCCGGAGGCCTTGTTTCTGCATACAAACTGTTTTTTCAGTGGTGTGGTTCTTCTGCCCGAGTGAGCAGTCTCTCTTTCAGTGTTGGCTCTGAGAAGAATGGGATAGATGTTAGACTTTTGTATGACACTTAGACTGCTGCTATTAGGAGCAAATTAATGGGTCAGCTGCAGCTTCTGAAAAGAATTGATCATAGGCTTCTGTGTTTTTTGTTACAGGGGTGGTGGTGGGTCTCTTCCAAACTTGTGCAATTACTTTTCTGCTGAAGCATGTTTGGGAGTAGAAAGTGACTTCTCTTGAACACACCCAGCCAGATAAACTTGTGCTGTTCTAAGTTATTATAACTAACAGAAGATTCTTTCAAATAGCACTATAACAAGACAAAAATCAAATATTTCAAGGGTGTCGATTTTCCTTACGTTGACTTATGTTGCTAAGATAATTCTTTGCAAAGTTACAAGATGAACATCAGCTCAGAGAACCCAGTAGAGAAGAAACTAGGCCAAACCTAGCATCTCACTCTGATGTGAGCATGTCAGGTTTTAATGATTCAAAGCGATTCCCCAGGCTCCAGCTCTCCTGATTCTTTCAGGCTGCTGATATCCTCATTATAATTTTTTCTCTATAATCAAATGATCGATACCAGCAAATGTAGGAAGAAGGTATCCTTTTTTTTTTTTTGAATTAGTGTTTTGGAAAAGGAGAAAGAGGTCATTAAGTTAAAATTCATGGTGGGACAGACTGTGGTGGCTAAGGCAGTCTAGATTTAGAGCCATGCCTGGGTTTGAATCTGGGTTTTGCCATTTGATTGCTGTGGTACCTAATGCGCATTGCTTAAGCTCTTGGTTCCTCAGTTTCTCTATCCCTTAAAGGGGGTCACTCATGCCCATCAAGGTTGTTGTGAGACTGGAATCGCCAGGCTCATGTAAAGTGCCTGGCATGGAATTTGGAGCATAGGAGATGTTCAGCGCATGGTGTTGCCTTGATGGTAGGGCTTTCGCAGCCAAGAAGACGTGACACTTAGGTTAGAACTAAAGTGGGGCACACACCACAGGTGGGGCCGTCGAAGATGGGTGCTATGCAGAAAGGGCCCGCAGTAACCATAGCCGATGTGGATTAGGAAGAAGCCATCCGTCTCTGCCTAAGCAATGCTGTTCCTGAAATCTTGGGCTTGATATGCCTGAATAGGGGTTTTAATATTAAAGGTGTAATATTTTGAGAACGATTCACTGTATGGTAAAAGTCGAGTGGATTTGGTGCCATTTGCCACTGATGCTTAAGTTTAGTCAGCCTGGTGGCCTTCTGATGATTCTTGCGTGAGTGCTAGAACTCCCTACGAGTGTGGGGAAGTGGAGCACTAGTTGGTGGCAGGAAACCAGGTCCCTGAGTGTCCAGAGGTTGGGAGTCGGCCTTGAACTCTGCCGTCTCTATCCCACATCCTGTTGCCAGGCCCGTTTGGCTTTTTCA